TAGAAAGATGGAATGGAAAGTGACTTCCAACTATCTTCAATACTGATATAAATACAAATTTAAAAAAGGTTAATCTCTTACCACTAATTAATCCAAATTAACATTATTTCTATCTAGCCTGCTTCCTTCTGATGTTACTGAAATGTCCAATGTACCTCATCCCAGACCATGCTACCTGGGGCTGTGGAAGCTATCATTCGCCAACATAAGGAGAGCCTCAGTCCCCCATTTCTGCTATAAACCATGGTTTCAAAGAACCCTGCACCCTTCTTTCCTACATGCACAGCCCATAGTAGTTCCACTTCCACATGACAATTCTATACTGCCAATCAACCAGTACCCCAGCAGGTGCATTGTTCACACGTTCTATATAAGCAGTCCTCATTTAGTGACTGCCTCATTTAGCAACTGTTCACATTTACGATGGCGATGAAAAAGTAACTTTATGACCAGTCCTCGCATTTATGACCTTTGCAAGTCAGTAAAGCAAAGGAAAGCTGAAGTTAGATCATGAGCACCGTTGAAGTTTCACTTAGCAATCACTTCATTTAACGACCGAGTTGCCAGTCCCAATTGTGGTCACTAAACGAGGACTACCTGTATATGAAATTACATCAAGCAAAAGCAGCAAGTAGCATAAGAGACCTAACTTTAACAGGTTGGAGATGCAAAGCATCTAAAAGGAAAAAAAATCAGAATGACATTTAGTTATCACTACCTTCACCGGATTCATAAATCAGGCTTAGCCTGATATGCCTTGCTTAGTTTTGGCTTATCCTGATGCTACCAGCCACTCTAGTTTATAAGCCATGATTTAGGGTTTATGCATTGTGCAATCCAACTAGTTGTGATTTATTCAATAATCCATGGTGAAACAGACTATGGCTTACTGTGCTTTGTGACCAGAGGCCACTGCCTTCAGATAGAAGTAAAACCTCCTCTCAGCAGTCAGGTGCGCATGGAAGCACAGTCCCGCCTTCCCGCCCTCCACTTCAATGTCTAAGCAAGGTAATGATCCTACCAAATGCTTTGGCAATAGCAACTGTCTCCAGCAGTCCCATGAGTGGCACCACCGCCAAGCCAGGTCCAATGGCCTGCAGAGATGGAAGAAGGTAGCTGTATTCCACTGCAGTTTTGACCAAGAAGAGGGAGCTATGGCCACAAATGTAGTGTCCCATACCAATGGAGGAAATATAACAGAGAGGTAGAGTAAATCCTAGACTTGTGCAGAGATCTGGATTCAAAAGACATTATGTGATTTGGAAGGAATATCTTAAACCAAATGTGTCTTTTCTCAAGATGGTCCATCAAATGTGGAGGGCAACCACCCTAGAACAGGAGAAGATGCAGCTGCTTTAAGGTGCTCCTAACAGGTCCTACCTGTGCACCCCCATACACCCTAAATACATTTTATTCTTTGAATCCAGATCCCTGTACAACCCCAGGAAATATTCCCCATTTCAATATCTTATCATTAATCAAACCATACAAATCCAAGCTGTTGAATCTTGAAATGCCAAATTAATCTGCAATTTGTGCTTTGAGCCAACTAGCATAATGAAGACATCACCCACACATCAAGTGCAGAAAATAATCTGCTTATTTAAAATATTTCTCTACATCATTTAAAGTAAACAATTCTTCCATATTATACCTTGTATGTCTTGATCACTGAAGAATAGAAACCTTACTTTTCCTGTAACTTTATGGCATTCTGCACTCTGACAAGTTCCATCAGCACAAAAGTACTAAGATGCAAGTGACTACAAGCTTTAAAGGCTGTTCAAGCTACCACTATTATTTAAGTTTCAGCCAAGACTCTGATACAAAAAAAACCCTAACTGAAAAATAATTCCATATGGATTACAACCTGCAGTGCAAACAGCAATTTATTTCAGTATATGAAAGAAAATATACTGATTTAATGAGGACTGTTTTTTTAAAAAAGATCTTTTAGAACATTTTTTGTAGCAGGTATAAATGAATATGTTTAAACTCCACTACTATATTTTTGAGAGTGATAAAAACCAAATCAGCTATAAGTTTAACTGTATTTATTTGTAAAGTTGTGATCAAACTGTAGAGAGTAGAGGGAATGGCCCTGAAGGACAGGAGGAAGAGTTGCTGCCAAGGCAATAGTCAGATAATCGGGGCCTGAGCCTGGGCCAAGAAAATAACCTGAGAAAACATTTCAAACAAGCCCCTCCCTAATTTACACAAAGATAAAGGAGGGGGGGTGCATTCAGACTTACAAGATTCTGTTCCAGTAAAAGTAGTCCTGACCTGCATAGCATTGGTTTCTTAGTCTGGTCTACCTAGAGGGGCTGACATAAACAGAGAGGAAGATACTGACCCAATACCAAAGAAATACGCACCTGGACCATCTCCCCAAAGTAGAGAGTATGATTGGATACGATGATGGAGAACGGTGGTGGCTGGAGCGGAGGGAGTCCCTGGGGAATTGTTCCTGTGAGGCTGAAAGGCTGGGAGCCAGTCATTTGGAAAGCATAGGCCACAAGACCAGCAAAGAGAACCACAAGAGCGTTACGGGCTGTTAAGAAGAAATTCTTAAATAAAGTTCTGCATAATCAAATGACAGACATGGATGGAAGGAGCAGTCAAGGCCAAAACCAGGAAAGTGCAAGTCCCAGCTAGCCTTGCGCACGAGTGTCCAATGCTGGACATTCCAACATTCCTGATCTACAAATGGGCAGTTTCTGGCCATAACTTCTACCTCTTATTTGTGATGTAGATACACACACACACGTATGTACACATGCGTTATAAATTCTTACAAAAGAAATAAAACCTGACCCTCTTGTAGAGAAGCTCAGCCCCTCTTCCTCTGGGTCTCCTTTATGTCTTTTTTTGCTCCCTGAAGCTTCCTTCTCCACCATCCTTCAGACTGCTCTCTTTTAATACACTGCTTAGCCTTCCTTCATCTCCTTGCCTTTTGGCTCCCATTCAGCTTCTCTCTAAGATCCAGAGCAAGCTATTCCACAGCCAAAGCTTTATTAATGCCAGCCAAACTAGTAGCATTTCCTTCCTGTGTGGTATTTTCCCTGAGCAATCAAGTATTCCAGAGCATCTCACTTGGCTAGCCAATCTGTATCAAGGGATCTGCTACTAAAAGAATCAGTATATATAGATAATTGCCAATTTAATAATTTGAGGCTGCCAAATTCAGAACACAAGAGCTACCTGGATTTCTGGAATGAACTTTATTACTAGTAAGGTAATCTAAAAGAATCTTGAAAACCTGCCAAAGTAATTTTCCAGATCAACTTATAACTAGCATAATCAAGGCAGGGTTACTCTGAGTCTTTTTCTCATACTTCTCCCCTTCCTGGAATAAGGAATCTTTTCTGTAATGGTTCTCCTCTCTCTTGTAACTGTCCTACTGTAAAGGAATTTAAAGCTGATCTCGGGGATAGGGAAGGAAGGCACAAGCCATTAAGGAGGAACCTGGGGAAGAATTTACAATCCTGGGAAAGAGGGAAGCATGAGAAAGTGACTCAAAATAACCCTGTCTTGATTTTTTTTTTTAAGTAAAAGATGGGACAGAGAGAAAGTTGGACAGGCTTTCAAGATTCTGTTATTCTACCTTACTACAATAAGGAGTATTCCTGGAATCCCTGTCATGTCTGTTTACTGACCTGGCCTTCCTCCAAAGGCTGACATGAATCTTGAAAGTTTATTCCCTGCCTATCCCTGAGGTCAGCTCTAATTTCCTTTACACTTATTCTCTCCTCCATGTTCCCAGGATCTGCTAGACATTCCATCACCAAAACAGAACAGAACAGAACATCAGAGAAAATACTATCAAGAAGAAGAAAGTTAAATACTTGCTTAGAGGACAGGACAGACAAACCTGTAGCTGTTATCCAAATTATATGCCGGCTGATCCTGACAGGCAAGACTTCCAGTAGATGGGTCCTGGGGATGCCTTTTTTCATTTGTTGCAGGACCATAAGCACTGTTAGGCAGGACACCCCAAGGATGGCATCTCCAGCCCTGCAGATAATCATGGCATTGGTCTACAATCAACTCCCCCCCCAGACAGAAGGAGACCTCCATCCTATTTGCTTTCTAAGCATGAACCTTCTCCTAAGCCACCCATTTGTACATCACTTTATTCAGCTACCAAGATACCTATATTTTTTATACTAAAATTACACATATGCTTTCCTGCTGGTTAATTAGATTTTTAATCAGCTGAAGGAAATATATGAGATTTAAAAGCCTGAAAAACTTAAGCCCAAGTCTGATTTCATTCCTTCATACAATGTATCCTATAAACAAACATAGTTTATTTAACTTTTGTAAGAACAATAAAGCCAGCCTCAGAGTTAATATAATCCACTCAAAAATGCCCCAGTTAAGCATAAAAGACCAGATGGCTATACATCAGGCTATCTTCTAATTTCTACAGTTTTAGGATCATTTATTCTTTGCCTTCATTGAAAAAAAATTGGGCCCTCAAGTATGAGGCAAAAAACTTGATTTGCCCCAATCCCAGCTTTCAGCTCCATTGCAAGATTCCCCACACAGTATTTGCAGAATTTCAGGATTTAGAAATGCTAGAAAATAATCCTGAAATGTAATACTCTAAAAATGTTTGTAATTCCCAGATGCTATTTCTATATTCTATTTCTGCACTATATTTCTCATTTTTGTAAGCAGGAAGAAGAGGAGCAAAAGAAAAGGACCAGCAGAGAAACATTTTTTTACCTTGTCTCATTAATTCTGCAGAAGGTATAATATACCTGTAGGACAAACTGCTGTGGAATGTTGTGCAGACCCAGAAGTGTCTATGGAAAATTAAATACACACAAGAATCGAGTTGGGGAAACAACTAAAACACCCACACATTAGATATGAAGGGTATACTCTGTGAATGAAAGGAATCTAGAAGCCATTTGAAACAAGAGGTGCTCTGGGAAATCTTATAACCAGTCATAACGCAATGCCCATTGCCTCCCACAAAGTCAACCATTTATGATTATTTTGGGCTCTTTAGGAAGCCAGGTTAAGGGAAAATGCAAGGTTACTACTGCTTGTCTGCAACTATAATTAGTTTCTTATTGGAATAAAATGTGGTCTTCCTTTCATCCTATTATTATAAATGCTGAACTACAACTCCCAGCCTCCCTCATAACTGGCCTTGCCTCCAGGATACCAGAGATTGTAGCAACATCTGGAGGTTTGCAGGTTTCCCATCTCTGCCTATAGCCACTATGGAGCTGAGGTACAACAGACATTTGTTTAAAACAACGACCTTAATCTTCACTTTTTAAGAAATAAACTCCTTCCAGGTTCAAAAATAGCTAAGTATTTTACTTCTACAAAATCAGCCTCTGGAGATGGGCTGAAAATATTCTGTGTGGTGGGAAGAAAAGAATACAAGCAAGCATACATATATACCCACCATGATATTCCCTTTCAGGGTAAGCAACCTTATGCAAACCGCAGAAAAGCAATAAGAAATTGTAAGCTAAAGAAATTAAAGCCTTGTGCTAAGAAAAGGAAGCATAGCTAAGTCACATTTACAGCAACATCCTCTCAATATCTTTCTATTGAGAACCATCTACCATATCCATTTACTGCTTCATATAGTGCCTTTTATTCTTTAAACTTCTCACCTCCTCTTTTGGAGGATCTCATCAACTCCATCATGACTCGGTCACAACTTTCTCAGTCTTCCCCTTTGCCTTCCTTTCATATGGTTTCGCAATTCGATCCTCATTCATTCTCCCCATACGATCAAGCCATCTCATATTTATTTCATATTTCTCTATTCAATCCAAATTCTTACATCACCCATTCATTCTTAACTGTCTCTCTTGTTTTGTCACCCACATTTCTTAAGTAATTTCTACTACATTGAGCTAATTTTAGTACCAAACCCTCATTCCCATATAACAAAGTAAGCAGAAGCACACCTATACACAGCCATTTTTGTTTCTTTCAACCAACACCCATTCCATGCAACAGATCACATTCTTCCTATGATCTTTCTACCAGCATTTGCACACCTTAAAACTTCTCCACCCATTTCTTCAACTTTAATAAACTTTCTAACGAAGTATACAAGCTCATCTACTTCCTCTGGCTTGCTTGTCTGGTTTTTGCCACTCATGTGTAATTTGCAGTTGTTTAGTCCATTCCCTGTCAAATACTGCAATCTTGGTCTTTGATACTATATTAGGGAATAACATATTTTATGAGACTGAGGTAGTTGCTCAGAGAACACAGGTTTGCAATACACATTAATACAACTTTCCATTTAAATACAACCCATTTTATGTTTAGCATATATACTTAAGTTCTTGCAAATGCAAAGGTATCTTTTTAAATGTAAAAACATCTGATACTTTTTCAGCAAAAAAAATCATAATATATAGCCATGTGGTCATTAAATAGCCATAAAACTTACTCATTTGTAAGTTTTAAACCATCATTCTAGTATTTTTTTCCGCTCTTTTTTGTTTTTGCTATTCTTAAAAATTTTATTAGAAACCAACTTTTAAGAGGGAGCTAAAGGCCTAGACAGCCTCCGCCAGTATTTCTACAAATCTGATATGCCAGAAAACATTTTCTAATGAACTGAAGCAAAACCTTCTATAAAAAAAGATCTGAGGCTTCTTTTCAATGCTGTTTCCTGCAACTGACACTTGCAAGCATGAAGAATTGTATCTCCGATTGCTATCTCCTCAGCCTCTTGCAAATCGCTGACTGTGGTCAACCACAGAGGAAACATTAAAGTTATAAGAGACCTCACAGCACTAACAAGAAAAAGGTAGAATTCACACATCTCATGGCAATGCTTACAGCAGAGGGTGCAGGGGACAGGAAGCTCCTGAGCTCTACGAACAATTATATAAATTTCAGGACGTGGAAAGCTCTATGTAAACAAGTTCTTTGCTTCTTAAATTAAGAAGCGTGAAATGAAAGCACAACAAAATTAAGGGCAGTTTTCACCAGTTTTAAGGAAATAGCTGCAGAAATGTTGAAACATGAATCCAGCCCCCCTATTTCTCTCTCATGGCTAGGATATGTTCCCCAATCCTCAGATCAGCCACCTTTACTTAATAGGCCCCTATCTTATTTCTAAAGAAGTCGCTTCACCTAAAATTGTTAGGTAAAGGCCAAGCGTGACCAGAGACAGCTTACCTTGACTTGGTTGAAGCCAATGGTGACTGCAGCAGCTGAAGTAAATCCTTTAATGACAGGATGCGAGATAAAATCCAAAATGAAACCTGCCAGGTATAAAAAAAAACCCCACATAGTCTTATTTCACCCTGGGAATTAGACTGGCTGGATTTCTTATCCATTCCTCAGACACCTGCCCATCATGTCATCTTCTCTTTCTTTTGTAGGGCCTCAAATCCTCCCTTTCTAAAGCAGAAAAGTACCTGATAGCTAGATAAAGCTGGGGGCAAGAGAGAGGGAAATTCTTTCCAGCTACTACCTGTGACAAGCACTCTTGCATGCATCAAGTCCTATTCTGGGCAGAAACCTGTCTATTTACCTATAAATTCAGAACTAAACTAGGAAGAGCAAAATGATCTGAATACATAATCTGTGGAGTAGTTTCTTCTGTGGAGTTCATCTCTTTTAAGCATTGCCACCCCCAAGTACTTTAAACTGAGTACACCTGAAATTTAAATGAAGCAAACGTGAATCTCTCTTCACAATTACACACGCACATGCATTTCAAAAAATGTAGGCAGACAGCGTCAGAGCCTATCAGAGGGTGAGGAACGGTTTATAAATCACCCTAATAAAAAGAGTTTGACTGAGCCTGCAATTCTGTACTCGCTGATCTGACAGTTACCCCAATGAACTCAGTGGGACATATTTTTGAGTAGATATTTAGAAAAACACCCTGCAATTTATAGAGCTGACGATACAAAAACAGGGACAACTCATTTCTACTTTTTTATTTTGTTGGATTTGATTTCCAATCATCTTCTTTGGCCATTAATAGCAACAGGGCAGTGGACTTAAAGACCAATATAAAACAGTTATGTCTTACCAAGTTGGAGGAGTCCCATAACTAACTGGATGCAACCTGAAAGAAAGGTGAGTAGAACAGCCAAGGCGGGCTCATGGAATGCATAGGAAGAAACCAAAAGGGACATGATGGCCGTGGGGCCAAGCGTTACATCTTTCGAGGTCCCCAAAAGGCAGTAGATGAAACAACCCATGAAGGAAGAATACAGACCATACTGCAAAGGAGAGGGGAAGGCAACATCAGAGACTAGTCATAGTACTTGAAAAACAGTAATCCATTAAGACCACAAAGGTTATGAAAGGCCTACAAAATGCAAATGGAAATTTGGTGAAACATTTTTAAAAGGAATACAGGTAGTCCTCGTTTAGTGACTGCCTCATTTAGAGACCATTTGTAGTTACGAAGGTGATGAAAAAGTAACTTTACAACCAATCCTTGCATTTACAACCTTTGCAAATCTGTAAAGCAAAGGAAAGCTGAAGTCAGATCATGAGCTCAGTCAGTTTCACTTAGCAACTGCTTCACTTAATGACCAAGTTGCTAGTCGCAATTGTGGTTGCTAAGCAAGGACTACCTGTATTTGCTTATTTTTTTTCATCTTGTATAATGCAAAGAGCCCAGCTACGTGGCAACATTCATCTGAACTTAGCTGGCGTACAAAACCAAGCAGGGATGGATAAGGTTAATACAGGTAGTCCTCAAGTTACAACAACAATTGGGACCAGGATTGGCATTGCTAAGTGATGTGGTCATAAAGCATGATGTCAAGTGACTGCATTGCTTAGCGACGGCAATCCAGGTTGCCATTGTAATCCTGAGACATGCAGGTCATTAAGCAGAAAGCCCAGCACAGGCTGCGCATGAGTTATGGGAGGGGAGTGGTGCGACGCAAGCACAGGAAGGCCAGGAAAAACATGTGCAGCATGCAGGCAAGTGTAGGAAGCCTCAGGGAAGGGAGGTCCTGGTGGGTGCATGCAGGTGTGTGAGTGCAGGTAGGCCCAGGAAGGAGGGCATGGAGTGCATACATGAGTTAAGGGGGGAAGAAGGGCACAGTGCATGCGAGCAAAGTGGGCAAGGAGAGAGTGCGAGCAAAGAAAGGTGGGGGGGAACTTACCTGAGTGACTTGTGACCCTCCCTGCTGGCTTCCCCATTGACTTTGCTCGTGGGAAGCTGGCAGGGAAGCTTGCAAATGGCAATCACGTGACCGCATGACACTGCAACCGATCTTAAGTAACTGCAAACGGTCACTGAACAAATGGTCGTAACTCAAGGACTACATGTACTTAGATGGGAACCTCTAGGGCAGTGTTTCATGGCTGGTTGAGGAATTCTGGGAGTTGAAGTCCACATATCTTAAAGTTGCTGAGGTTGAGAAACACTGCTTTAGGGAAATACAGGGCAATAGGCTTGACTGGGAAATTGGAAAAAATGTCCCAGAAAAAGGCAGGGGCAAATCAGTTCCTAGGATGGCAAGAGAACTTCAGGGACACATCCATGCAAATTACAGGAGCCAAGCCTGATTCAAGGCAGCTTTATACTTTAACAGGAGATACCATTAATAGCATGAGTTATTAAGGTATTTCAGAGCCAAACAGTTCTTTCCCATCTCAGTTCAAGAACTTCTTTTCAATACCAAAAGGCCTTCATAGTCTGCCAGAGAAGCTTTTCTTAATGTGGGATCTTCCAAACATTTTGAACTGCAATTATCATAAGCTTGATCATACTGGATAAGGCTGATGTAAGTTATAACCCAAAATATCAGGTCATCAAAACACAGAAGGTTGTGCTAAAACTCACTAGCTAAACATTGTTCACTCTGTTGACTATGATATGCCATCTAGTCAGTGTTGAATTTTAATGACCACACAGATAAACCTTCTCCAGGGTGATCTGTCCCCAACCTGACACTTCAGATCTCCCAACAAGACATTCATGGATTCATATTTCATGGCCTCCCTCCCCCAAAAAGGACGTTAAAACTGCTAAATGCCAGGTTTTCAGCATGAGGCCCATTGGACTCATCAAGATTTCCTTAGGCCCCATCCAGGTCCATGCCCCATCTGGTTTTTAAATTTTTTTTCTTCCCTTTATATTGTCTCAAGACTCCAAATGAACCCAAAAAAGTTCATCTGAGCCCCAAAAGATTTCATGGTGATCCCTGCACTACATGAATACATTTAGTTGCAATTCTACACAGTTGTCTGGAAGTAACTTCCAAATAATGCTGCAGATTATTTATAAATAGTCTGTTAACTCTGCACATACACCACAAAGGTTAAAGTTCCTCCAATACTGCTGATATTCATGCATGGATGATGCAATTTTTGTTATGCCAGGATTCATTATTATTAATACAGTACAGAGGTGGAGAACTTTCTCTTGCTTGGGCAAATAAATGTCATACAGTGGAAGACAAGAAAAATGCTTATTGCCTCTTTTCTTCATATTATCTGTTAGCCCTTTGAGGTAGGCAAGGTCAGGAAACAGAAACCACATGAACTACTGGAACTCTATTGTTATAGGGTATAAGAACAGAATCTTGAAAACCTAACAGAGATTCTCTCTCTCCACTCTTATACTAAACAGAATCAAGGTGGGATAATCTTGAGTTTAGTCCTCACCCTCTCCTGTCTATCCAGGCTAAGCTGATATTTATATACAACAAATGTTGATCAACCACCATCCCTCTTCCATGGAACAGCAAGAAGAGCTTAGTGGAATGGCAGAGGATGTATCTGGCATATAAATGTCTCACTTCAACCATCTGCAACCATTTTCATTTGGAAAATAAACCCTGAAAACTCATATCTGCCAGTGGATAATTAGGGCAAGCAATATGTTTGGGCTGGTAGATGCATTTAGACCTTTGCCTACAAGAAAAAGTCATTATTTCAAAATGGCTTCCCATGGAATGTATGCATCCATAAAATGGCTACCACAATGGACATGGCCAGATACAAAACACTCACTTATCAGAAGGCAAACTGTTGAAGTTCCTCCTTTTCCACCTCTAACACTCCAGAAATGTTTTGTCTTTTTTCCTGGGTAAGCAGTACCTTTCCAAACAAAGCCCTGTACATATATGCAAGGGCACAGAGGCATTCCTGGAAATAAAGGAGCAGCATACCAGCTTCTCAATTAATGTTTTTAAAAAATCTTTTTTAAAAAAATCGTGTGGGAGAGATAGCCAGGCAGGTGCTAAGGGGTGCATTGATGCTAACAGGCACCATATTGCCCACATCTGGGACAATATTTTGACTTGGTGTAAGCCAGCTTCTCTATCATGTTTCGCCATTGACTCGCTTGGCTATGATAGGTGAGAAAATAAAACCATATGGATATAATACACATGGATTTCCTTTATCTCTCTGTAAGCGTGCCACACAAGAATAGGAGCATCATACACTTGTATGAATAAATGAGGGCCTTATCTAACTAATTATCATCTCCCAGGCTAATGCTTAAAACAGAAAAACATGCCTGTTCTATCCATTCCTTTCTCCAAACTTCCATTCTTTCCATTCTTCACCGGCCCCTTGCCCTCTGTGGTATCCAGTAAAGCTAGTCTAATCCTTCCTTCCTTCAAGCAAAAATCAAATGCTATTGTCAGGCCAAGAGTCCCTGATGTAAAAAAAAAAAAAAATGCGTTAGAACTCAGTTTCTACCATCTTCCTCTTTGCTCTCCAATTAGATTAGGGAACCTTTTCCACAATGAGGCCAGTCAGACTGCTAGTGTGAATGCTGAATGAGGACAGGTACTTTCAAGTTGTACAAATACAGCATTGTGTTAAGTTCAGCCCTTTCAGAAAACATGTTAACAAAAGCTCCTGGATAAATAACCTCACCTGCATGGGGAGACCAGCCACCTCGGCATAAGCAAGAGCTTGTGGCACGACGGTCAGCCCCACGGTCAGCCCCGCCACAAGATCCAGCTGCAGCCATCGCAGAGAATATTTGGGTAGCCAGCCTAGCACGGGCAATCGCTTTGCAGTTGTCCTGCAACACTGCTTCCAGCACTCTCGGCTTCCTTCTGACATGGCTGGACTCCGTGTGGTTCAGACTGATTCACTTGGGATCCACCAGCAAAGTCACAAAGACAAGCAAACATAGTCAGGATAGCAAATGATTTTGCTGGAGTAGATCAGAAAGGTTCCCAAACTGGCAGTAGAAGTTCATAGATATACCTGGGGAAAAGGCATAGGAAAACAATTAAGCAGCTCTGGCAATTCTCCATCTTGAATATGAACAGAGGATCCCACCTTACAATAATATTGTTCCTCCTAAAAAGTAAACAATTGCCATGGCACCTTCTAACCTCCTTACAGGACGTGGACCAAGGGCATATGCTGTATTTAGATATTTGCAGCCCAGCTGTTGGCGTGCTATTGCTGTGTACTACTGCACTTGCTAGAGCTGCATGAGAAAAAGGGCCAGGCTCTGGAGCAGTGTTCTCAACCGTGGTAACTTTAAGATGGGCGGACTCTTAAAGCTGCCAAGGCTGAGAAACGCTGGTCTAGAGGGTCGCTCAAGTCAGGCGATCGACTTAAAGTTAGGAGGCCAAAAGTAATTTAGGACAGTTCCGGGTGGAGGGGCAAGGCTAGGCAGGGAAGGAGGGAGCAGTCTAGTCATCAAGACCAGAGAAAACTTACATTAGCGGGTCCTGCGTCGTGGTAAAAGATGTGGAATATGACCCAAGCACCATCCGATCACCTCTCCAAAGGTACCGAGCGGCCCCTTCCGGAGCGCGTCTGTACGGCTCTAGTTCCTCAATTCAGGCGCCTCAACCGGCAAAGTAAACGCAGATTAATCCCAGATTCCTAGTGGCCGACTCGCCCCCTCGGCTCATGTGACCCGGGCTGGACTTGGAGGCGGAGGCGGAGAGGCGGAGCCGGGCAGTGATTCGCTCCTTCCTAGTTTCCAGCGGTGCTGAGCGCGGGGGGAGCTCGGGTCTGGGACTGTTTGCCGGGCGAGGAAAGGCCCGGGCGATGCGAGTTTGCCATGCAGTCGCCCGTGCAGAGGTGCGTGCTGGCGCTGCTCCTTCTGGCCCTGAGGCTCTGTAACGCCGGGAAGGGGGGCCCCAGCGGGTCGCGCAACGTGCTACTGATTGTAGGTGAGCAAACCAGTCCGGGGGGCAGCGGTCGCGCCCCAGACCCTTCTGCGCAGGAATCCCTCGCGCGAAATACTTGCCCGCGGTTGGCTTTCGTTGGGAGCTGCTTTAGGAAGGTGGGGTCGCCTAGCAAACTTTGGCTGGTTTCGAAGCAAGTTAAAGAGTCGGGCTTGGTTCGTCCTTGGATGAGAGGCAATCAAGAAATCCCAGGGCTATAGGGGGACGGGGAAGTCGAAAAAGCATCCGGGGAGGAGGCATGGGCAAGCCATTTTAGTGTTGTTGCTGTGACAGCTTGGTCGTTGTGTTGAGGTAATCAGCAGGAAGTGAGCTCGACTGAATAGAGAACTTCTGCCTTTTGGAAGGTGGGAAGGCCATACAGCAGACTGATAACAGGTTTTCTGGATCACAGTCGCCAGTCTGTTCCCATGCCTCTCTTGGTTTGGGTTGGCAGGAAGAGAGGTTCCAAACGTGGACTCTGTTGCCCACGTATTCCTCAGATTGAGCTGCCTGTGGTGGGTTAATTGCTGTAGGACAGGGAAACATTCAACAGGTGCAGACTTTTCCAGCTGTGGTGGGAAATCTGTCATGAATTCTGCCAGAAAAAAAGGCTGCAAGTTTACATATGGACCCTAAAGGGCATAATGATGGGCCCTGAGCTATTTGGCTGTGGTGCCATGAGAGGCACGATGTCACTGTTGCTTGTGAAAGAACGAAGATACGAATACTGTTGAAATGAGTTCAGTGATGGGTGAACTCATGCCACTTTTGATAAGATGGGACAGAATTAACAAGACTCTGAGATGTTTGGTGTATTTTCCTTTGTCTACAAGATAATTTTGTAGCTCTTACTGTGTCCATTTAGCTAATTAGTGGGACCTCTGTTTGTGGGAACATAAAGTGGCTCAAATTCCACAGTTCTCCCTTTTCAGCTGGGACTGTAGGCTTCCCAGGCTATAAGAAACAATGCTGGGGAGTGATGTAGGGCTCTTGTTCCTTTTTTGCCCTCCAGTCAGTTATGTCCTCCTGACTCACACTTTTTCCCCCCAGTGGGTTAGGGTTAAAGTTATCAATCAGTGGTTAACAGTTACTTCTGCAAATTTGTGTACTCACATGGTAATCACAACAAGGATATTGCACCAATCAGTTATGTCTGTGGTAGGCAAAAACTTTTTAGACATCAGATTTTAACACTAATAGTGGACAAAAAAGGACCGAGAACTCAATGTAATATATGTTGGATAAATGATTGAGTCTGTCGTGCAGCATAGCATTTTGGAATTTCAGATGTCGAAACCTCTTTAAATCTCTGTTACAGAACTAAGCCCTGCTCTAACTAAGAGAGCAATATTTCATGATCCAGACCTCTCCAGATGTTTCCCAACCACAAACCCAATGGATTTGTGGATGACCCTCCCAAAGGATTGTAGCAAACGTTCGTAGGGAACCAGAGCAGAATACAGATCTCACCCCTTGACTTGTGCTCTTCTTTTCCATGGCAGCGGACGATGGCGGTTTTGAGAGTGGTGTGTATAACAACACAGTCATAAAGACCCCAAATCTGGATGCTTTGGCCCAGCGGAGCTTGGTCTTTCGGAATGCCTTCACTTCTGTCAGCAGCTGTTCCCCCAGTCGGGCCAGCCTCTTGACAGGCCTGCCTCAGGTAACGCTCCCCGGGTTGGATCAGAGCGTGTGCCATGCCAGAGCACAGTTCAGTCCTTTTCTTTGAAAATTATTATTGCCACCAAACTGTAGGTCCCATATTATTGCAAATGATTTCTCTCTAACCACAGCACCAAAATGGGATGTACGGATTACATCAAGATGTGCATCACTTCAACTCCTTTGACAGTGTCCGGAGCCTCCCCTTGTTGCTCAGCCAGGCTGGGATACGGACAGGTAAGCAGAGGAGAGCAGAATTCCTCCCTCCACTTCCTCAGTTCAGCTGGAACTCTTTCTCTTTCAGGCTTGGGTGAGACAGCCTGCAAGCTTAGGAAAGAAATTTGGTCTCTCTTCTTTGCAGCCAAATAAGAAAATGCTAGCAATGACAAATATTATTTTAAAAAGAGATGTCACATATGCTAATTCTGAGGCAGGCAGCTATTGCTGTTGGAAGTAGAAGGGACATTTTATTTAACCGCTCAATTAAAACCGATAGAGCATTGCATTACTCTTATTTGATGGACATCACCAAATTTTGGCAGTGTGGATGAGGCCACTAGAGAAAGGTGGTCTGCGGATTGTGGGTGGCCTGCTTCAGATATGCCTTTGCCTCATTTAGCCCAACTCCAACAGAGAGAGACATTTTAAATTGCACCCCTTTTGTTTCTGAAACTGTTAGGATGTTCTCATGGGAAGAAGAGCAAATCGCTTATCTTCAAACAAATTGTTATG